CAGAACAATTATGCCGAGGTTCATAGAAAGCCGTACGTGGAAGTTACTTTTAGGTGAAATTCTCCTCTCTTTAGGAATAGGCGACAAAACTGTGAAGATGTTTTGTTGTACCAGACGCAGCTTGTTCTTCTCCGTTCATTCTCGGTAACGACGTTATCCCCAAGTTCACACATAGCCTATCGATTAACTATCAGCGAAATACTATTCTATTTGATAAAATAGCTGTCCCAATTATAATCAAAGAGTATAATAATACAAACGGTAATAATTATTCTATACCGGTTTTTCCTATCGACCATACCACACTCCAACATACCACACTCCAACCATCAACAGACTATGTTATTTTGGGCACAACCAAAGTTTCATTTCCTCAACATTGAGAACTTATTACATCTGATGAGTTTTCTTCTTCTCCGTCTTCTTCTTCTCCGTCTTGTTCTTCTCCGTCTTGTTCTTCTCCGTCTTCTTCTTCTCCATCTTCTTCTTCTCCATCTTCTTCTTCTCCATCTTCTTCTTCTCCGTCTTATTCTTCTCCATCTTCTTCTTCTCCGTCTTATTCTTCTCCGTCTTCTTCTTCTCCGTCTTCTTCTTCTCCGTCTTCTTCTCCGTTTTCTTCTTCCCCGTCTTCTTCTTCTCCGTCTTCTTCTTCTCCGTCTTCTTCTTCGTCTTCTTGGGAGGCCTAGCGTTGTCATGGAGGAGGTGCACAAAAATTTGTTCAGGCCGTTTTCTCGAACGGCTTCTGCAAGTTTCTTCTGCTGACCAGCGTAATATGGAGCGGTGACGGTGTGGCCTTGCTTCAGCGGTTCTTTGTACGGCATTCCTTTCAAATCCCAGGAGTAGCAAACGAGACACTTCTCGGGATGGAGGCCGGATTTGGCTTACGTCGACGGCTGTTCTCCTCGCGGGAGCCGGAGGGCGCGGTGCTTGTTAGCGTCGGAGAGGACCCAGCTTCCATCTCCGGTAACTAGGCCTCCAGCAACTCCTTGCGATGTGGGTGGAGAAGGAGAGACTGTCAAATGGATACCCGAATGCACCGCATGCTACCGGTCGAGACATTAAGTATCCATCGGGCCAGCACTTTTCTGTGACCAAAAGACTGAAGTCGACCGACGACTGTTGATCAGATGCACCCAAGTCTCTTCGCAAAACTGCGGGTGCTGACTTCCGAATCCTCATTGAAGGCGCGTGAATAACGGATTCGTCGAAGGTGAGGTGGCATCCCGACCGAGGCTTTTCTTCGAAGCCTTTGTCTCCTTCCTCGGAACGGGCGAATCAGCGATGGACCGTACCAATGGAAGTGTTTTTCTCAGGCCATACGCTAATGATGTTGCGAACTGTTGCCCGCCGCTCCGGTGCCGCTGTGCCGCTCGTAGGTGACGATATATCGATCATAGTATCGTGGAATTGACATTGTGATTTAAGCTAACGGAGGAAGTGCGCCTATATATAAACTCGTTACGGAAAATGTTCTAGAATGTTCTACCACTACACTTGGTATATCGCTGATATTGATTAATAATCGAAGATTCAGGAACTTCCAAAATACCCCATCAAAACTTTTGATCAAACTAATATATGGAGGATGCGGCAGGTAAGGACTACCAAACCTTTCATTCAGTAGGTCGGGAATATTGAACAAACTGAACAGAAAACATGTTCCGGTTTTTGCATAAAATTATCCAAATCAACTGCATCTGACCCTGCGAAAGTTGTGATGCAGTTGGTTTTGGATAATTTTATGCGAAAACCAGAATATGTTTGAAGATACCTGCGAAATTGCGAGCGAAAGTTCGATAAGAGGGACACGACAAGAGGCAGGAGTACTGATGCGATACGTTACAGATAAATTTGCTTTTTTTTTCTGTGAAACGGCTCATCACTAAGAAGATCCAACCAGGCGGGAAGGAAAAATGGAAGACATGACGAGGAGACCTGGTTTTTACCCGTCCTTTTTGAATGGTCGCATCAGTTCGGGGCCGCCTCATTGGCCCAATGACTACATGTCACTCTTCTCGGACGCTCATTTTGATTAAAACTGCTTCCTAAACCTCGACAGAAAGTGTCAGATTTCTTGTCAATTTTTTCATCAGTATAGGTCTCGTAATCTCTTCAGTTTCATCATATTTTTTTATTGTAATGTACTATCCCGATAATGTCCAAGAAAATCATGAAATCTCTGTAGAAATGAGGTCATCTCAACAAACATCCCAAAATAGATTCGAACGATTAACGAAGAGCGAGAAACAGCCAGCAGCTAACCGCTGAAGAGCTTCTTATGAGTTGATTAAAATAGTAAACGGAGTGTATGTTCAGCAGCCGAATCTTCCTTGAAACACGACTCTTCTAACTTCTCTTCGGAATCAAGGAGTTCAACATTTCGTCTGAAGCGATGCTATGTTCACCTAAGCGGTTGGGATCTGTTGAGCACTTCCAGCAATAATTAGTAAAGTGCTTAACAAAGAAAGCTTGAGAAGGGGACGGGGTGAAAGGCAAAAGTGTCTAGCTCAAATGATCAGCCTACATTAAAACCAACAGAAAGTGGAGCTCATTCCTAGTGTTCTGATAATCTGCAGCAAAACTGGTGCTGATTGTCCTTCTCCCATACAATCACTTCTAGGATATAATTGGCGATGAAATGAGTATTATCTCCGGGATTTCACCCCTTCAGATTATCGAATATGTACAACTGTTGACGAGTAACAGGTACTGCGACGTGATGTGCCAAGCCTCTGGACCCGAGGGGTGGGAAGCCGTGATGGTCGTCCTCGTCTTCTTCTTTTCCGGAGAGCCCGGTCGGTTGTTCTCCTCGCTGTTCTTCCATTCCCTTTTGTATCTTCTCGCCGCGTCGCTGCCTCCCTGTAATCAGTTCTCATCATCAGCGTCGCGTTAAGCTTACTCTATGAGTAACACCATCTGTTGATCACCATCCTAACCTCAACTCACACAAATGATCTATAATCGGCTAATTATAGAAAGAAAGCAGTAATACAAAATAACTTGTTAACAGGTATGAAATTAATATGTATCAAAAGTGCAAAGACTCAAAGAATCAAAACGCCCTTATAGCGCTTCGCTTTCAGCATTGGCTGCTTTCATAGTCCGCCGGCCGGCGTGCCGGCGGAGGCAGTGCTAGGGGGAAGGAGGGAGACAGACAGATAAGCAAACAGTCCACGCCCCTTCGAGGGGTGGAAAACAAACAACCTTTGAAGGGGCGTGGGCTGTTTGCCTTACACTGTCTGCCTCCCTCCTCCCTCCTAGCACTGCTTCCGCCGGCCGGCCGGCGGACTATGGAAGCAGCCATTGATGAGTTTTACGAGGGGAGTGGGTACTATATCCCTACTTTCACGACCCGTCTAACCTCGGTGCTCCCTATGGAATGCTGCTCGACAAGCCCGCAATAATCGTTGCAGTGGGTGCTTTGAACGAACTTTCAGCCCTTGTCATGCCCTCTCTGAACTTTATTTCAACCAGGAGCGACGTTTCCTGTTCTTGGGCCACAAATCGTTTCTCGCTTTTCGAGTTTCTCTGCTTGCGATTCTCTTACATGCAGTGACTATTGCGGCACATCACATGACTTTGTGAATTTGGATAATTCTTCTGTTTACCTATCGGAGTAGTAGGGATAGAAAACTCTCTATTTCACTTCAGAACTTCCCTCTGATTTAATCCGAGCTCTTCACCTTTCTAGGGTTTCAGCTCTTTATTTTATGTGACTAATGCGAACAAGACCGCTCCTCTAACAATTTAGTTCCAAAGGTGCGACTGTGCGTAAATCATCAAGGAAATGTTGAGGAATGACACTAACGATGGTCGGTCATGACCAGCCACTTTTATTCCGAGAGAACACGGTAAAAAAATCGCCAAACTAGCAGTTCATCTCACAAGAATCGAATACGTAGAATTCCAACAGCTTGGGAACATCTTGCCGATTTCTTTTCGAGTTATTTTTCTCCTATTTCTCCCTCGGCCCATTTGGCTAATACACTTTTCTTTTGTGAGCTATATGCAAACGATGTCTAATCTTTGACATTCAGTAATCACTTCGGTGCCGAGCTACATTTCTCGCACGCAAAATTAAATGCGAGAATTGTAGGTTTTCATGATTTTGGAGAACCCGTGAACAATAAAGACAGTAAGATTTACTAAAATACATCGAGGTCTACAACCTCGCGCTAATAAAAGACAGTGCGGTGACTCAAGCAGTAAAGGGGAAGATCCAACGAATAGGGAGGCGAATATGGAGCTTTCCTTTCATTCGCTACTCTGTGATGTTCTGCATTTTGCTGTTTCACAAGTTTCTCTACTTTTCTCACTAGTCATTTTACCGAATTTTTCCCACACTATATTTTCCACGGTGTACTTCCATCAGCGATGATATGCCATAAATTGTGGTTCACGTTTCAGTTGCTTGCATTATTGCGAAACGTATTGAAGCGAACCTGAGGTTTCACATTAAATCTCGAAGACGTCCAGAAGATACCAAATATGTTATAGTCAACACCTCACCATTATTTCTCAGATGTTACTGGATTTCCGGAGAATTTGATATGAGAAATGTTCAAGTCTCCAGAATAAACACTTGTCGGTGTGAACAAGGTCCAGTGCGTTTGATGAGTTGCGCCCAGTTTCACATCTACATTTCTTTTGTTTTTGGCAGCTATTGAAGAAGTGTGTTGCCACGTGGGGTTAGTCTATCAAATTTATATTGTAGCAACTGCACTCATTTTTTTTGAAGCTGCACTTGGTAGGACACCATTCGTGTTCTGTATAGGAAGCAGCTCACTGTGGCATTATGTCGTAGAACTCATAATATAGAAGCCCTTACTCATTTTAAAACACGAAGGAGCACTTGGTGTCCATGACTCTACTAGAAAATCACGCGCTAAATCGCAGGTGCTCGAACATCTGTGCCATACCTGGAATGTTGCCAGTAGTTTGCCGGTAATGGAGCGACTCTGGCGAAGGTGTGATCGTAAAAGTAGGTCAGTCGAAGTGGCCCCGAGTACGTGATCGTCGTAGTTGATCCCGGTTTTTCCACGGAATAATTTAGTGTCGCCAAGGTAAATAGTTCAGTGATTCCTCAGACCATGATGCAAAAAGCAGCATTTCAAAGGTGTGCAGCTAGGAATAAATGCCGGCAGTAGAGGTAGATGTGACTCAGTATGTACTTCTTGTAGGCTATTCATTTAAGCGAAAAAAATGTCGGATTTCGTAAGTAAGGTGCGTGGATAATGTCACCTAGGAGGTGGGTTAAAGGTTTTAAGGGTTATCATGCCCATTTGGAAACATTAGGTCTAGGGAACCGGTTTTTGAAGTTAAATTGTTGAATGAGGGATGGATAGCGATATGTTTAGGTTTCCAACTCTGAAGAAGGCGATAACGCCGAAACGTAAGTTGATGAGAATTTATTTACCATCTTGGCAACAGGTTTTATTAAAATCTTATAAAACTAATGCAAAACTATGCCAAGATTTATCGAGAGTCGAACATGGACGCCTATGACCACAGAATCATCCGATAAGGGTGGCAATGGAGTTTGAAGCTCAGGGTAAGCAACCATGAGAAGCCTCAAAGAAGAGATGGCGGGACGTGATCAAGAAGAACCTCGCCGAAGCTAAAATAATGGCAGAAGATGCCGTGGATCGACAGAAATGGAGACGGTTGACATGAACAGCGGACCCTGCGACAGCGCGGGATTAACGCTAGGGAAAGAAGAAGATCCTAGGCTTCTATCCACATTCCAAGGAGACGTTTGGAAAGGGAATCCCAGTTCAAGACCTCACCGCCTTGTGCATACCAAAGTCTTCTGAGAGGATAAAGCACTGACTTGTACATTGGCACAAGCCACAAACGCATTTGATGCACCGCTACGATTATAAATGGGTGTCGGATGCGGGACGCCCTCAAACGGGATTGATAATGCTTGAAAGTCTAGGCTTCCCTATTGCTTGAAATTAGGTGTAATTTCGTATGATTAATACTATTCTTGTGGCGTGCGAGGTTGTTGAGAATGGAACAGTTAGCGCACTACTAATATGGACGGTTGGTAAGGCCGGTTCCCTATCAATGATAATTGTAAAAGAAGAAAAATATCAAAAATAAAACCTCATGAGAAAGACTCCGTACTAGATTTCATTGATTCTTCTGCCAAGGTGATCAGACGGTACTGATACCAACACTCGTAAGCTTCTTCAATATTACTTTGCTGGCCGTTCTCGTATCATTTTCGTCGAGAGCTAGGCACTAGAGCGTTTATTAGACCTTGCTAAAGTCGCTTTCCTTTTCTTCTTATTTTGCTCTTAGTTACAATTAAGAATAACTATTAGTCTATTCAATTGTTCATCGTCGCTCTCCAGCAATTGGTTGCCGACCATTTCCGCCAAGTTTTCACTAGCAGGCTTTTCCCCTCACTTTGATCATATGCTAAAAATATAATCAAAATAACTATCATGGAAAGCAGTCTCATTCATGCATCATATTCATTGTATTAGAAATGATCTCTCGAGGAAGCCGCTCAGCTAATCTTCCTTCCTATTCGCCGATTATGGTCGCCTGCATCGCGGAACCTAGAGGAAGGGAGCAACGTTGCGCGACGGCGTTGAATAGACGTACGATTCCGGATGATGGACCGGCTTGCGATGCGATTTTTGTTGCTTCGTTGTTCACCCCCAGTTTCTCATCCATAGAAGATCACCGCGTGTAGATAGTCGACGCCTACTGCCCGAACTATTCATCATTCATTATCATGCCTTCGCTTTCACAAGTACCCTGAATTTACCTTTTCTGCAATAATACACATCGATCCTCCTCATAACAAATAACCGAGCCTTATGCCGACAAGTCAACTTATAGAGAAGCTAGATTTTTATTGGTCATCCACAGTTACGTAAAGAGGGGGCGGGAAATGTCCACAATACCCTGCTTTAATTGCGTGCTTTTTTGTTTTAAGTATTGGTGTCCGCTACCTGGTTTCCAATAATTGCTCCTTTTATAATGGTTTCAAAACGGGACGGATCATTTTCTATTTGACCTGTGAGCGTCTCGCGGTGGAAATTGCCTTTGTAGAACCCTGTTGTAGTATAAAACTTTTTTTGGTTGCAATGTATCAATTTTGCTCTCATAAACTTTGAGTCTTTCTCAGTCTCTCTCTGGTCGAGCTTTGCACTCACTGCCTAGGCTCTCCCAGCCGTTGTCCATCTTGTCTAGGTGACCGATATCTTCTATGTACTTAAGCAAAGCAACATGACTCGACTTGAATGCACTTTTCATTGAGTTCTCTTTCCTAGATTGATTTATCTTTTCAAGACAGAGGTGTTCTTGCCAACTCTCCCCTATTATAAGCTTGAATACAATGACCAGTGAAACAGTCCTTATCGCAAAACGTGAGTCATTCAAAGGTTCATTGATCGGCGATTCTCAGCATTGCACAATACCGTGCCCTAGAACCAATTTTTATGCAGCAGTGAAGATTACGAATTCGAGGTCACGGGTTTGTGAGTTGAAGAGGCGCATGGAAAGGTTCTTGCAACCGGACATCTTGTTAATTCCTCGACTGCCCCCAAACTGCCCATGTGGATTCTGCAGCAATGTCCTCGTGATGAAGCATTTTCTGGACTTTTCCTGATTTTATGCAAGACTCTATCGAGCTCAATACAGATTGTCAGAGCTTCGAAGATATTGTTAATCGAAGAAGCACCAATTATATTCACGATTTCTTACTTTATGTTAGTTAGCCATTTCTCGAAAGCCCAACATTCGTGTTTTCAAAAACAGGTCTTCGTATCATTGATCATAGTTGAAGTGCGCCGTTTATGATACTACTTGCGTGTAGAATGAACACCTCAATCGAAAGTAGAACTATTTTGATGAGAGAGTTTTCGATTCGTTCGAGACTGGCTATGGTAACGATGACGTTAACATCGCTGCCTTTATTCAAACGATACAGTATCGTCTAAGAATCTTTTATAGACCTCATATGAACATTGATACACCGTACCTACCGTATCCAAGCCAGTATCGAGAGGTAAGTGTAGCTCATACGGCCAAATAAGCATTTGACTGTAGTACCTCATGCGCTTCTTCATGCAAAAGTAAATGAGGGCGCGAAGCTAGTACTTATGACAGTGCAAGATGCTCCTACTTTGGATCTGTGAAGGTCATTCATTTGTGTTGTAACTTTCAACATTCTTTCGTCTTTGGAATCGTGAATTCATTCGTCATCGGTTCGTTTTTTACTTGTAACCAGTGGTCAGTGAGTAAAAAATTATGCAAGGAAATCGTGATGACTATAGGCCTAGAAAGTTTAGGAAGATGGAAGGCCTGAGGGCTTCCATTCTCCTTTTTACTGCCTTACTTGTGGGAAGCAACGTTCACTCTACTAATGGTATGTTAAAAATGAAGCCTTCCTGTGCTTAAAATAAAGTCAGCAAACATTTTATAGGATTGTGTACAAGAATGTTCTTCGCCCAACCTGTAGTTTACGACAAAGCCATGGGGATCGGTTTTTATTTTACAGGGTGAGTATAGCAACTCCAAACAAGAAACAGGCGTTCGTTCCGTTTAATCTCTCTCTATGTGATCCAAGCCAGACAAATGTGACCAAACATGACACATCTATTCTCATAGTAGCTCATTCTTTCTCGCTGTCTGACTCACTTGATCCTGCGTCTTATTTTTACTGTCATTTTCAATATTTTATTAAATTCTCGTCCTCATTCATGTCGATAGAAAAGGCAATTCACATGCTGCACTGCATTGCACCCCATGGTGGCCAGTTAGGCCTGATTGACCTGATCGAATCGCTGGTCGCTTAAGTCGCCTGATACCCAGTAATTTATGTGAACCGCTTTCAAAAAGTTATATGGTGGTGAGTTGTCGCATGCCCAAAATTCTCGAGGCTCCTGAATGGACAAGCAAATCAGGTTACTTCGTACAACTTCGCACCTCCACTCACTCTTCTTTGAGGTGGCCTCCCTTGAATGATAGGTTGCCGACCTCTCAGCCATACTGCGCAAGGGTGATCCAGTGTCGATCCTGTGATTTAGCGGTTTGATGTGCTTCAAAATACGTAATTAATGGTAGTGAAAGTAAAAAAAGTAAGCTCTGGGAACATAGTATGAGCAGCACAGTAAGTTGTGGAAAATGTGTCACCTGTCGTCTCCTTGATCGTCGATTTCCTCAAGTGGGAGCCAATAACGTTGTTCTTCGTCCCTGCCGCAAACAAGAGTGGAATAGTAACCGCCTTGGTCGAATTGCCATCGCGCTATCACATACGGTGTTCGGCCATCTGGTCTTTGATTTTTTCTGATCTCTTTCGTTGACAGAGCTCGCAACTCCGCATTTCCTTATGTCCCTACGTATATGGAGATATTCACACCACCGTCCTTTCCAAAGCGCATTTAGCGACGCTGACAGCATGTTCATACTGACAGCATTCCCATCTGCTCAGCTCGGAGCCGGGTGTGCGAATATTTTTTCGATCGCACCTAATCAAGCTCGCCTCGCACCTAGGCGCGAAGTGACCTTAATTAGGT